TCCCCTCTATATTCTGTGTTTTTCCACTAATGAGAGCCTTCCTCTGCCAGCCTACTTTAAAACTATCAATGTGCTACCTTGTCTAAGCCAAGGCAAAAGGCCTAGAAGATCTTCCTAGCATAAAAATAAACACTTGTTGTCCCTTCTACCTTCTTCAGGCCCAAACATGAAACACTTACAAATACATACAGCTTCACTACTACATAAGCATTAAGGCTGGTCACAACAGCAGCTAAGCCCAAGTTATAAAATCTGGCTAGACTTAAGAGCTGGATTTCCCCAGCAATCCTCAAAGAGGCTGATGGACCCAGGTAGTCAAAACACAATGCTTCTTGATTTTGATTTTGCATCCTGTACAGCCATTATAACAAGGGCCACAGTCTTTACAAACGCAGAGCTAAAAGAATCCAATTATTCAGAATTACTTTATCAATGCACAACTCATTTGTTACCTTTTAGAAATTCCTATGCTCAGCCGGATTCGTTTTCCCCCCAGACCTGGTGCATTCTGGCAGTCTTGCAGTGCCCTCATCTGATCACCTTGCTCACCAAATCTGACAAAGGCATACCCTCTACAATTTTCAAAAGGGAGAAAACAAATTCTAGTATTCATAACAGTTACAAAGCCAATTAATTCAATTTCTGTCTTCACGAAAACAGTAGCTACTACAGCTTCTATTACCTAAGCAACCTCTCTGGCATGTGCGCATGCACAGAAGATGCTTTCACAAAATTAAAAACTTGGGCCAGAAGCAAAAAGCTTTGTTGATAGCATTAAGATGCAACTTGCTGAAAGCCAGCAAAACAATACATGTTAACTGCTATCCGTGTAAGTAACCAGATTATATACTTCTGCACTTACAGCAGTTCAGTATATTCAATGTATCAGTATTAACCCATTCCTACTGCTCTACAGCTCTAACATTCTTTCTAAATTTACTCTCTCAGACTTATTTTTTTTTTTTTTTTTCTTAAATTAGTATTACACCCAGTGGTTTCTGAAAATTCAGCAAATTCACTTATCCCTGCTTCACTCTCTGCCTGGTCAGTGTAACTTCTACTAAGCTTTATTTACTAATACAAGTACTTCCATTTCCCAACCCCCTAAGATTTGCTAGGCCTTACACTTCCCTTCCACGTGTAAAAAGGGAATTATTTTGTCATCAGTACTGCACTAAGTGGACACACTGCTGTAGGTAAGCACAGATGTCCATGCAGAGCTCTCCTTTCTCCCACCATCTAACTGCTTTCATGTGGATATGCTTTTGGCTGAATTGAATCTTAACACATTAGTTAGCTAAAACTAACCATAAAGCTTCAGAACCCCAAGGATCTATGTTGTTAAAAATAAGCCAGAGAATAATCTCTCTTCCTGCCTCTGAAGAAAATTCAAAACCAGTTCAAATATAAGTTCTCATATATTACTTACAGCAACACACACACTGACAGCATTAACACATTTTCACAGGCATTACCTGGAATATCCCAGCAGGTCTGTTGCTATTTTGCAGTCAATACATGAAGGGTACCTCTTTAGGAAATAGTCATAGAGCTGAAAATCATCTACTTCTGGAGTCAGCTCCCCAACAAATATTGAATAATCCGGTCTTTAAAAAGATAAGAGGACCACCATTAAGACTGAGAATAATACAGTTCACGTCAGTATTGAAGCCCCTAACATACAAGCAAGTAGTTATCACTGGACAAATAAGGAGACAAAATAGAAAGAGTATTAACTGCAAAACTCTGCTAAGCACTGTACAGAACTGCAATGCCATCACTCCAGCACGTTCTTAATTTCTGAGTCCATTCTACCACTTTTGCAAGCATTTCAATAAAGACTCAGATCTATTAAAGAATCTCTTAGAAGTTGGTTTTAGAAACTATTATTTGCTGTCTGAAGGGCAGGACACCCAAAAACACCAAGAAAAAATATTAAGTTACAGCCAGAATTCAAAGACAGCTAAGACTATTTTGACACCACATCTCAAGCAATTATGAAAAAGACAAGCCAGGAAAAAATCGTTATTCAAATGGCAATTCAATTCCATAAGCAATACTTAGTGTATAGACACCAGATGTGCCATTTCAGTATTTTTTAAATAACTGATGACATTCACTAGTCATTAGCAATTTCAACAGATAAAGGGTCAGAGCTGCTCCTTTCTAAAGGTCTTTACCTGGTTGTGTTAGTACTGCTAGGGACAAACTCTATTCTTCCTGGTTTTATTTTGTTCTTTTTCTTCCGCTTCTTCTGTGGTGTTCTCCACCAGCTGTAGGCCTGGAGACATTCTCTTTTTTTTGCCATCAAGTCCTGTAGGGAGAAAAAAAACCACCTTTATAGTATTTAGCCTCATTTACATTCCTCCCTCCCACTCCCCATCACCACAGGTGATTTCCCCATATTCACCTTGCCCTTGAAAGAAGCCTGGGGTCCCATTTCTCCCTCCGCCTCCCATGAGGGAAAGCAGCCTCTGGGGAAAACGCCTGGCAAAAATAACAGAGCCAAAGGATTGTATGAACAGCCATATTCCCCTGACTTGTCAAGCTGGCTAATGGATTGACAGCTTCCTCTGGGAATTAGGGACAAACCAGATAGCCTTTTGCTGCTGGCCAATCTTAAATGTTAATTAGCTTCAGGACTGGACTGTGTTCCGCTTGAGCTCCAGGATGCAAAAAACCCTGCCGCAGCACAATCTGCATGATGAAGAGGCAGGGAAATTGTCACTCTTGCCTAGAAGGAATCTCCACTGTCCCTATCTCCCCTCACTCAGGAATTCTTCTGTGAGATGCCTCTCTTCACTACCCAGCAGCGAGTCACTCTCCCAGGCCAGGAACAACAACAAGAGGCCGATTAATGGAATTTAAGGAGAAAGCAGACCAGGAACAGGCACTAGCTCGGCTGAGGGAAAACTCAAACCCAGATGCAGGGCCAGGAAGAAAGAGGCAGAAAAAGTGCCTCTTAGGGAATTAAAAAAAAAAAAAAGGAAAATTTAATAAAAAAGAAAAAAAAACTACTAAAGCCCCAGAAACCACAGCTCAAAAAGGAAGTGAGTGGGGCAACTACACAAAAGAGGAGGGGAAACAGCTTTGTTAACACCAGTTGCCTCCTTCAGTGAAGATTCTGAAGAACAAGGACTTCCAAAAATAAGAATGATGTTCCATAGCATTTACTTACGCAGGCTTTAATGCTCTTCCTCTATAACATCTCCACATGTATCTTACACAGAAAGTGTTATGCGCAAGATCCTTCAGAAGAACTTGCGCTCAAATAATGCAAACTGCAAAGCTTAGCGTAATGCCCCCCAACCTGCTTGAGTCGACACAATTAAGTGTCCTGAGGACAGCCACCAATTACCACACTGCCGGAAGAAATCTTAGGACAGAAAGAACATCCAACTCAGAGCAAGCTAGCTATATCAGCTTTACATTTATTAGGAATTCTGAGTATGGTTGTGGAATCCATTTAGGCACTGCATGCCTGTATTTCTGACTAAATGATCTTACCTGGCTTGCCATGGTTCAAACTGTCTTCTGTCTTTCTCGAACAGTAAAACTGCACAGGTTCAATTTATTACACTCCTTCAGCTGAAAAAAATGTGGGGGGAGAAAAAGAAGATGAAGGATTTTATCCTCAATATTAATTCCTTTCAAATATGCTCAACCCACCATATGCTTTAATGTTATTAATTCAGGACTTCAAAAATTAAGTTCCAACTTGTCACTGCTAAAACATCGGAGATAAAAAGGATGTATGGCCAACAGGATTATCATTAGATCTAATATTCACTGTTCTAAACTGTAACAAACCACAAAGTTTTCCCACTGTCTAGACCACTAGAAAATTCTAGAGATCTTTTAAGTCCCCTATACCTCACCTTTAATTCTGAAATACCTACATATAATAACCCAACCATCCAGAAGATCCTAAAATAGTTAAAAGCAAGGCAAAAGACAGAGGTTTCATCACATTTTGTACAACCTCCCCGGTTTCTTCCCCTTTTAGCCAAATTTAAATTTACTTGTACCACAAACTACGCAGCTGAAAACAAGCAGTGGTACTTCCTGTGTGCTAAAGGATATGAGAAATACAAGCAGGATGAGGGCACAGCACAAGCAAATGTGATCTTTCGCCGCACCTTTTCTCCTCCCTCTCACTTTCTCCACATACACACTTCACTCATTACCATCAAAACCAAAACCAGAAAGTAACATTGTACTGCCATCGCTAAACCAGTGGCCACATTTTCCCGAAGAGTTATGTATCTTTGTTGATCCCAATATTGTTTTTCATAGGCTTTTTGCCCTAGTCATCCAACAAATATATATCAGTGCAAAAACCAATTTCATTTACAAAATACTCCGCATTTACTTTCACACACAGCGTTCTTCACCCCTACCGATTTTTTACATCTGATGTAACTCCTGTGCAGATACTCGACGGCCATAGCTCTAGTTCACATTTCCACACAAGAATTTATGTCATGTTTTAGATCTTGGCTGATTAAATCCACAGCCACATAATGCAATAAACACAGAGCATCTACAATGCCTTCGAGGCTTGCCTGCAGAGTGGAGCAGTTCAGAGCACTACTTCTGAAAATGCATCAGACTAACTTGACACAGGAGAGCCATAAACCATAATTAGAGCATCCACCCATGGATGCAGATTCAGAACAACTACAGACTTCATCCCCACAGCCACTGTGAAGCCAAGAAAAGAGTCAAGTAGAAACAGGCCTAAAATACTAGCAAGGTTTGGGTATGCTACACTAAGCACATGCTAACTGAAAGTGTGTTCATATCAGCAGCAAAGTCTTCCTGTTAAGGGTGGTCATTATTAATGCAAATATCCACATAACAACGTTCCTGTAACATCAGTTTTCAAGAAAAATAACCATGAGTTCCTCCATGTTCTCAGCACTGTAATACTGGTTTTTTAATTCACAACTGCGCAGTAACTTTTTTTAAACTTACCACTTTTAACTTGTGCAGACCTAATGGAAGATGGCACACACGACAGAGCGCTCTTGTTGCAAGAGGCTATCGGGAGGGAAGTGATACAACTGCTTCTTGGTAGGTTATCACCAGCTTTTACACAAAACCGCTTTTGTATGCCTCCCTGTCCAATGTTCACCTTTTCACTAGAAAACAAGAACATTTTAAAAGCAGTTAAAACAGCATGCACTAATATAATACATTTTCTTACATTTGCTTTAACTATATCCACAGTCACGAGCTTTCATTTAATTAGTGGGGCAGCTTCAACCTCCAGAATTCAAACACATCTTTAACTAGATTACACACACACCGCAGCCTTTTTTTATTTTAGTCCACTTTCTTGCATTACTGCGGCCATACGGGCAAAAAGGTGGGCGAAGCTGTTCACGGCCTGAATCGCCGGCGCAAACACCGCTGACGCAGGCAGCGGGCAATCCCCCCTCCCCTTCCTCTGGCACTAATTTCGCTCACACGAGGCGCTGGGGCAGGGCACGGGGATGAGGGAGCCTCCCAGAGCTCTTGGGGCCGGCGCAGTGACCCCGGCCGAGCCCAGGCCCGAGCCGTGACGCATTTCTCTAACCGAGCCACTCGGCACGACGGGAAGAGCCCGGCCACAAGTGCGCCCCGCCCGGCCGCAGCCCTCCTCAAGCGGCCACACTGGCGCCGGGGCCGCGCTTCCTGCTTATTGTACCACGCGATAAGAAATTAAGTAATGAAAAAATATAAAACGACCCGACGAAATAGCAGTAACAGCCGGCGGGGCCCGGGGTTAGGGAGGGGCTGGTTCTCTGCTGCCTCGGCACAAGCGCCGCCGGGGCCTCCTCGCCCCGCGCGCCCTGAGGGAGGCGGGGGCCCCGCGGCACCGGGGAGGGGAAAGGGCCGAACATCCCAGCCCACCCCATTGCGCCTCGTTCCCAATAGATCGGTTCGCGCCCCTTTTCACTGCTAGCAGCCCCCGATCCCGACCGCCGCTCCCCCTCCCCCCCTCGCGATCCCGGCACTAACGCCTCTCGTCCTCCCCGCCGCCATCACCGCCAGCGCCGCTTCCGCCCCGCGAGGCCCCTCCTGCGCGGGCTGCCCCGCGCGCAGCCTGACCCCTCGCCGCTACCTCCGGTGCTTCCCGCTCCGCGGCGGCTCCCACGGGATTCTCCTCACCCGCAGGGAGCGAGCGCTGCAGGACGCCACGCGCGGAGCCAGCGCGGAGCGGCGCAGGCAGCGCGGCGGACGGGCGGCCGGCGGAAGAGCCGGCGGGAGCCCCGGGGCGGCGCCGTGCGGTGGCGGATGGAGCTGGTGGCGGGGTGCTACGAGCAGGTGCTGCTGGGGTTCGCCACGCGGCCCGGCCAGGTAACGGGAGTTGGGGGCGTGGAGGGGAGGGAAGAAGCACAGAACGACCTGGGTTGGAAGGGACCTTGGAGGCCATCTCGTTCCAACCCCCTGCCATGGGCAGGGACATCTTCCACGAGACCAGCGCGTTCGGAGCCCCATCCAGCCCGGGCTCGAACGCCTCCAGGGAGGTGTGTGGGGGAAATGCCCCGCCCGCCCCTCTGGAAACGCGCCCCTCCGCACTCACCGTCTCGTCCGTCCGCAGCCGCGGTTCCGGGCACGGCCGGGGCTCTTAAAGCGCGTTGCGGGGGCGGGGCGGCCTCTCCGCGGCCTCTCCGCGGCCTCTGCCGTCAGACTCGGCCCCCTCGCTGGCCGAAGGGCGCCCGGGAGCGGCGGAGTGTCCGGGCAGCCACGTGCGTGCGGGGTCGCTCCTCCCGACGCGGTGCGCAGGATGGATGGGACGTGGGCTGGGGGCAGGTGGAAGGCGTGTCTCCAGCCTGCCGTGATGGAAAACGAGAGAATCCGCCTCTCTTGCTCTTCGGATTTATGTCTGTGCAGAGACAGCTTCGTCTAGGCACAGCACTGATTCCAAGGGGCGGTTTGCACGCTTAAATCCTTTGGACTAATCTCCTAACAGCACATTAACTCAGTAAGATCCCATTATGCTTACAGCTAAGTATAATTCCTCCTCCTGTACTCGAGGTGCGGCCTCACCTCGAGTGCTGTGTTCAGTTCTGGGCCCCACAATTCAGAAAAGACATTGAGATGCTGGAGCAAGTCCAGAGAAAGGCAGTGGAGCTGCTGAAGGGTCTGGAGCACAAGTCCAATGAGGAGTGACTGAGGGAGCTGGGGTTGTTTAGTCTGGAGAAAAGGAGGCTCAGGGGGAACCTTATCATTCTCTACAACTGCGTGAAAGGAGGCTGTAGCCAGGTGAGGGTTGGCCTCTTCTCTGAGGTAGCCAGTGACAGGGCAAGAGGACATGCCCTCACACTGTATCAGCGGATGTTTAGGTTGGACATTAGGAAGAATTTCTTCATAGAAAGGGTGATTAGACGTTGGAATGCACTGCCCAGGGAGGTGGTGGAGTCACCATCCATGGAGGTGTTTAAAGAAAGCCTGGAGGTGCCACTCAGTGCCATGCTCTGGTTGACAAGGTAATGGGTTGGACATGATGATCCCAGAGGTCTTTTCCAACCTATTTGATTCTGTGATTCTGATTTTTACACATACACTTTTTCAGCTTTTGCTTTTAAAAAATAAAATTACAGACAATGAAGTGCAAGCTTTCTGTGGTAAGCTGGAGAAAGACCTGCTTGTTTTGCATTTCATTTACAGTCGTGGACAGTCGTCCCTGATTTTACACATCATGCCCACACTGCCTCGTTGTCAGCAGTAGCAGTGAATAACAGATATGTGGTCACTGGGAGCAGAGATGAGACAATCCAAATCTATGACATGAAAAAGAAGATTGAGCATGGGGCGCTGCTACAGCACAATGGTAAGGGAGCATTTCTTTATAAAAAAACCTTAATGATAAAAAATTGTGGCTGAAAAATTGTTCCTTGCTAGAAGAAGAAAACTGATTTTTCTTTTTTTTAATAAGACTGTAGTAGTGATGGTGTTGCAGCCATGATGGTGTGATAGAAGGTAAAAACAATTATTCTGGTATTAGCTCCCAAATGCTGCTGCTGCTTTAAATTATTTGTAGTTTTGACTGGTCAAGAAGTTATGAGCCACAAATGGCTTATGTGCCATTTTTCTTCTATCAGGACGGTTTATCTAGACCATGCCTACTCCCAGCTACTGTCTTTCCTGGTCACAAGTGCACATGAGCCACACAAAAGAGAGTTTGTGTGTGAGAGCAGGCTGCTGCTGCCAGAGGAGTTAACCTGGTATATTTCCCACTGTATGTGCTACCTGAATTACAACTGCAAAGTACATGATGGAGTCACAGAACACCTTGGGTTGGAGAGGATCTTTTAAATGTCCTCTAGTCCAACCCCACTGCAGTGAGCAGGGGCATCTTCAACCAGATCAGGTTACACAGAGTCCCATCCAATTTGGCCTTGAATGTTTCCAAGGACAGGGTATCAACCACATGTCTGGGCAGCTGTTCCAGTGTATCACTGCTGTCCTTGTAAAAGCACTTCTTCCTTACATCTAAATCGACTCTGTTTAGTCTAACAGTCTAAAACCATTACCTTGTCTTATCACAACAGGCCCTGCTAAAAGGTTTGTCCCTGTCTTTCTTCTAAGCCCCCTTCGAGTACTGGAAGGACACAATAACATCTCCCTGCAGCCTCTTCCCATCTGAACAATTCCAATTCTTTCAGCCTTTCTTCTCAGGAGAGGTGTTCCATCTTTCTGGTCTTCTTCATGGCCTTTCTCTGGACTTGCTTCAACAGGTCCACATAATTCTTATGCTGGGGACCTGTTGGAGCTGGATACAGTGTTCCAGGTGGGGTCTCAGAAGAGAAGAGCAAAGGGGCAGAATCCCCTTCTTCCAGCTGCTGCCCACGCTGCCTTTGATGTAGCCCAGGACACATTTGGCTTTCTGGGCTGGAAGCGCACATTTCTGCATCATGTCCAGCCTCTCATCCCTCAGCAAGCCTAAGTCCCTTTCAGCAGAGCTGCCCTCAATCTGTCCATCCCCCAGCCTGTGCTGATACCAGCTTGCCCTGTGCTTTGTGGAACTTTGATGTTCCCATGGCCCACTGTTCATGTCCCTCTGGATGGCATCCCATCCCTCACCACTCACAGAGTTTGCTGTCATCTGTAAACTAGCTGAGGGTGCACCCTTTGTCTCTATCATTGGTGTAGTCATCTGTTGATGGCTGTCCAAAGAAATCTGTTTGGGTCATTTGTATCTCAGTATTGATTAACCAAAAAGATCCAGGAGCTAGGCTGAGCATGGTAGATGCATTTAACTCATGATGTATGTATGTATGATACATCTGGTGATTGTGGGGAAGCAGCACGTGCAGTAAATTCAGCTGTGTGTCAGGAGCAGGGCTTTGACATGGGAGCATTCCTATCCCTGATAGAAGCTCTGCCATCTCTGCCATGGTGTTTGAGTACTGCTGTGACAGAGAACAGACCAGATGGAGTTCAGACATGTGTGGGTAACGGGTGCCTCACAGAACATATCAGACTATTGAATATAGCAAGAAAGTGTGAGGGCTTTTTGGAGAAATACTTAGGAAAATAGATTTTCCAAAGGTTAGGGTAGTAGCTGGCATGCTTTCATGGAAGAAGCTTTTCTGTTAAGTTGTACATTCTCTGTTAATTTGTGTAATAACTGTTTGGTGTGTACAACATTTTTGATTGTATTTCTAGGCACGGTAACTTGTTTGGAGTTCTATGGGACTACACATCTACTGAGTGGGGCTGAAGATGGACTCATTTGTGTTTGGAACACAAAGAGATGGGAATGTCTGAAATCCATTAAGGCACATAAGTAAGTTTCTTAAATCTTCATATTCACGTACATTGTAATGTAAACGTTTCTTGTAAATAATACATGTGACTAATGTTTTGTTTTCACCAGGGGACACGTGACATCTCTTTCTATTCATCCTTCTGGGAAATTAGCTTTGTCAGTTGGAACTGATAAAACATTAAGGTGAGTCAAAACTGGTGAAGGAATGCTGAGAATCACAAGCAACAATTCCATGTTGGGACTAGGCCATGCAACACTGATAAAACATATTTGTTATCAACTGGTTCAAAGATCCATTGGTTTGTCTTCTGAAGTTCTAAGTGCCAGCTGTTCATACCTTTTTGTGAGCTCTGACTCTTCATGAATCACTTGCATATGTATAAATATGTTTGCATTTTGGAACACAATTTGCTTAAATTTTTGACAAGTGCAGGTTGTGTTTAGTGTGATTTTTCACTTGGAGTGTTTCTGTGTTGCTGTAGATACCTGTTTTAGAGATGTAAAATGCTATTTTAATAGCGCAGATTTCTATTGGCCTCCTTTTGGGCTCAGTAATGCAAACGGTGGTTTAGAAAATAAATAACACAAGTTCAACACTATAGTGTGCAAGCAATATATGAACTCATCATTTTCTCTTGCATTAAGAAGGCAGAAAAATGCATTGAGAGGCTTAAAAGCTTCCTTTGGGTGGCTCATGACAGCAGATTGGATTTCAGTTTCGCTGTGCTGTTTTTAACCAGGATGCACATTACCTCTTGTTGTGTTTCAGAACTTGGAATCTTGTTGAAGGACGATCAGCCTTCATCAAAAACCTGAAGCAAAGTGAGTTTATCAATCTAAATCCACTAATTAAGTGCAATTTGATAGTTTTATTTTTCACGTAAAGTTGACTGAATTAATCAAGTCAGTTAATTGCAAACTTTCACAATGTTATTTTTACACATGCAGGCAAGCGTACGTAAGCTCATGTCCTTAATAGTAATCATTTAGCAAAAGGAAAATATAGTACTACTAAAGTAAATTCTTTCCTTTAAATTTGAGCTCAGAGCATTTAAATTAATGTGTTTCAGTTTGTTTTTCTTTACATGATTCTGATAATCAGAAATAAACATTTAAGAGCATAGCTGTTTATTCTCGCTTATTTGATTTTTCACTGAATATTTTCTTAGGTCTAGGTAGAAAACAGTGTCTAGCAGCTTCTAAAGATTCTTACTTTCAGATTCTCTGTTTCATTGTGTACAGATGCACACATAATTAAATGGTCCCCTGATGGAGAGAAGTATGTGACCGTGATAACAAACAAAGTGGATATCTACAGACTTGACACAGCTTCAATCACTGGCACCATTACAACAGAGAAGAGGATTTCTTCACTTAGATTTATTACAGTAAGTACAAAAACGAGAGGTGTTGGAAAATTAACTGGTTTGAAACACATGAAATTAATCACATTTGCATTTCTCTTTCTTCATTCCAAGGATTCTGTCCTTGCCATAGCAGGAGGTGATGAAATTATTAGGTTCTACAGCTGTGACTCTCAAAAATGCCTGTGTGAATTTAAAGCTCATGAAAACAGGTATTCTATATTTGTTGACTATTTAAATATTTATGGCAATGCTGAGTCCTCTCTAAAGTTTTGCAGCTTGTAATGTTCAGCATATTTTGCTTTTGTTTTAGTATAGAAAGTGAATTTATTTATGTGCTAAATTCCAAACAGACTTGTTTGCTTTTTGTATGAGCATAAGTACTGTGCTGTCCATGCATGTTACAAAAACAGTAGGGTACAGAATTAAGAATGTTGCTAAATTTGTGAGAGTGTGTGTGTGTTTGTGTTTAACCAGTCTTTACTGAATCTGACTCTTTAGAATGCTTCAAAACAAACCAGTTTTATTCAGTTCAAACAATAGGAGTGTAATTACATATTCTGGTTTTGAATACCAAATATTTGTCCAAATGTTGCTTTGAATTCATCAAAATACAAAAGCATTAGCAGTAACGTTACTGATGTGTCTAATAGTGTATTCTTTACAGTATTAAAGAGTTCTGAATTGAATCCTAATAAGCCTAGCAAAAGCAAATGGTCCTAATATAAATGACAGCACTCAAAGCAGATCCAAGTTCCTGCCTGTCACTTGGGGGTTTTTTGTTCATACTGATTTTTTAGACTGTTGCCTATTCATCTTTAATTTATCTCAGCTTACTGGTCTGAAGTGAACTGCGATACTATAAGATAAAAATGTATTCTTTTTCACAGAATAAAAGATATTTATAGTTTTGAAAGAGAAGGACAGCATGTCATTGTTACTGCATCCAGTGACGGTTACATTAAAATGTGGAATCTGGATCTTGATAAGGTTGGTGTATTACACTGCTTGTTACATTTAAGAAAATCAACAGAGAACCAGAATTGCAGACAGTCCTGTTGTAAGAATTTGTTTTAAATCATTGAGGAAATTTCATGTGAAATATGGATGTCTTGATCTTCTTCCATGTTATGTTCAGTAGAGATGTATGTCTATGCACATACATTTATGCACTCATATTTTTTCATCTTTGTACCTTTTTTTTTTTTAACAAACTATAAAATCTGATGATATTATGATATTTCATCTCCACTTTTTGTAAAGTTATGCTTCCCATCAGACCTAGCCAGGGTTATGACTATCTAATCAGTTATGTATGTTATGACTATGTAATTTGTTAAGGACTGCTGTGAATTTCTGTAATGTTGATGACTATTGCTACTTTTCTGAAAGCACGAAGTCTGTGGTTTGGGCAAGGGAAGGTGGTTGTTCATGTCAGGGGAGGAACTTATCCTTTGGAAAAATTCAAATACATAAATGTACTGAGTACTTGTATTTCATGTATTTTCAAACAGTTCTGAGTAACACAGTCCAACAAGGAATCATGACTTACCTTTAAAGTTTATTGTGTTTATTGTTTGCTCTTAAAACCAGAAATAGATTTTTACAATTTACTACCCAGTTCCAAAGGATCTACTATATTTTATGATAAGTATCTTGGATAGTTCAAATAATTATTTCTCAACATCTATATGCTTCAAATCTGAATTTGCCTGTTTATAATTTCACCCACTCTGATTATTTTTGTACTTGTAAGTGCAGGAGTGATCTCCCTCTTTCCTCTTCACATTACATTTCTGTTCCCCTTGTACAGAACTGACAGAGTGATCTTTACCTTTCTGTGTAACATCGTACTTATTTCGACCAAATTCCTTTCCCTGCAGGCAAAGTTTTGCATAACTGTGTGGGCTGCTCTGTGCAGCTGTGAGGGGTAGAATATCCTAATACAGTAGTTTCCAGTGGGTTGATGCTGTTAACACTGCCCATGTGTCTGTGACACTTTATCCCCTGATATCTGTAATAGAATATTTGTATTCCAAAAGCTGAGTGATACAATTGCCTAACAATGAAAGTGGGCAGTAAGGTGCTTTCTCACTCCAAATACTTCATTAAATTTAACCAGAAAAAAAATAAGGTTTAAGTGATCTTCTTTTATGTTTTCTTCAGATTAGAGATGGGCCATCTTTACTGTGTGAAGTCAATACCAAAGCTAGGCTGACGTGTCTTGCAGTATGGCTTGACCAAGCTTCAGAAAAGAAAGAAAACTCTGAAAAAACTGCAACACCATCTCAAGGTAACAGAACTTTGTATTTTGAATTGTTAATGTGACTGTGAAATGGAATACACCAAGTGGGAGGCTTCTCCTATATCCATTGGAAAATGTTCTGGTATTTTGAAGAAGTGGGGATATGATGCTGGCAAGTGATACAGATACACTTACCAATCTGATAGTGTCTCAAGCCCATATGTTTGTTGGAAAACATAAGCCTCTTATTGCTTTTATTAAAGTTCTCTTTCTGTTTACTTGAATAACAGGAGGCCACTGCAAAGCTTTTGAGACAGATAAGAAAACAAACAATTGATTGTACTGCTTGTCTTGTTTTCCTATAAACAAAATTAGGCGTGAGGCCACTGTAGCGGGGCAAACTTAAGAAGTCTAGCTCAGATTTGTTTGGGTTTTCTGCTGTTGTTTTCCTGCATTGTGATCTATTTACATACTTGATCTTCATGTGTTTTAATTTCACAGGCAAAACTAGCATAAATGGCACTTTACACTGTAAAATAAAAAGCTATTTATAACCCTTTTTTAAAAATGAGATACAAATAAGTCTCTGTGTCATTTAGACTACAAGGACTGGACATAAAGGTCAGTGTGAATAATTCCTTGCTTTTTTTTTCAGAAACAGAAGATGAAAAATCATCAACAGCCAGGATAAACAAAGATTTTTGGACTACTAAAAGGGTTAAAATAGCAAAAAGAAAGAGAAAAATTATTCCAGATAAACAAAAGCTGGAAGCTCCAGTGCAAAAGAAGAAAAAGAAAAAGACACAGAATAGTTCGGCATGAAGGCAGCTATTTTTTCTGTATAAAAAGTAAATGGTGGTGTTGCCCTAGTTTTTATAAGAATCTAAACCCTAACAGAACATGTACCTCTGATCCAATGTATTGTTTAAAAATAATTAATGTTCTTACCCTAATAAACTGACTGATCATTCTGGGAACTTTCCCTAAGTGAACAAAGCAAAAATAAATTCATAATATGCAATGTTTATATTTTTCTATTCACAATACCATACACTTTTTAACTGGCTCTGAAAAAGCCAGCTAAAATAATAAAAATAGCTTCATCTGTCTCAGTTACATTGTTGTTTCACTTAAATGCATATTAAAAACATGTACACTTTTTAGTGTTAAAAATGTTACTGTTCATTTAACTCAAGGTATAGTCTGCCTTTGTCCTGCATTTCTTTTCCTACTGTAAGAAAAAATATGTTAAAATTATGTAAAATATGATGATCACATCCCATTCTTACAGTTACGGAAAACTGTAATTTCTGATTTTTGACATGGACTTATACATGGACTTTATAAGCACAATGTTTGGCTTTTTTTACTGTGGTCATACTTAAATATATTTATTTTTTTAAAAAATCTTTGTACCCATGGTTCATATCACTAAAACATTTGTTCAGGATATGATACATAATTTTAGGCAGAAAAGTTTATATCAATAAGGTTTTACCTTTTCTTCCCCCTTCCCAATGTGTTTTTTCAAGTCCTTGATCTGAGCCATGTTATTAAAAAAGAATTATATAACACCTGAAATTTTTGCCATGCTGATTAAATGTCACCTCTTTTGTTTGCACTTAAAAAGTAAATTCCTGACCTTGTCAGTCCATGGGAACAGGAATTCATCCTTAGCGTTATTTCAAATATACAGTGGGGAAAAACAAATTTGAACAAGATCAAAGAGGTGAACTAAATGTTTCCCTTCTTTATTTTAAGGTGTAAGGCATGTTAATGTTGTTTTCTGCACTCCTGGAGTAGTCATTACTGTTTTCAAGAGTAATTGGAATTATGCTTTTTCTGATTCATTTCATCCATTCCTCCTTATTTGTGTACCAAGAGAAAAAGCAGAGAAAATCGGAAAAAAGAGCCAAATCTGGAGACAGGAATGCAGGCTAGTTTAGAGATATAAAACCGGATGTAATTCCAGTTCCGCTCGATGCTTTGACACTGAAACAAAGCATCTGTAACATCATCAGTGTAACATCTGAGCATCATCAGTGGTGTTACAGAACTGTTCATGTGGCAGTAGCAGTATTCTCTTGGAAGTGGGTATCCATATTTTCCTTCTGTAACTGTTTTCCTTACTTAGATAAATGATCAGAGCCCCTTGTTTGGATATTCAATATAGTTGATTTATGCAAGTTCAGTTTAATTCAACATTACAGGGATTAATTTTGAGCTTACACAGCTTTTAATTTTAATGATACCCTAAATGTTTGTGTTCACAAACACATGCAAATAAATGTAGGACTTCAAATGGTTTGTTGACTTGACAGAAAGCTGCCATGAAGGTGCCAGATTTTTAATTCCTAAAGCTTCTACAGTAAATGTAAGAATTAAAAGGCATAAGATTAAATGAGGGAATTGTGTACAGCGATTTCACTTGTAAAGTCTTATGTCTATTTGATAGTGCTTATCTTGTGTCCTTGACAAAATGTCTGCCACTACTAAAGCAGTTTTTATTGTTTGTATTTTTAAATACATGAGCTCATGGACACAGTCATCACCATTGCAGAAGCACTAGGGAAAAAATCCAGTCTGCATGTAACTTTAAGATTAAAAAGCAAAATTTCCACAGAATTTGGATTCTAAAGTTTGGACTTAGAAGTAAGTATTACACATTTGTAAAAATCCCAACCCCTTGTGTAGTAACAAAGAACTATGCATCTCATGAGACTCAGAACAATTTGTGAACTGGAGACAGAGAAGAACAGTCCTTAGGGGAAAACCCATATTTTTTTTTACCTTCAGTGAATACTCTACTAGTAATGAGTACTTGGCAATTTGTTGTGGTTGCATCTTTGTGTACATCTTCCTTTTCAGCACATTTTCCATTCTAGTTTTCAGGGAACTGCTCAGAATGGTAGGGGGGAGGCAGCAGTGCAGAGGGGAGATGTCAGCGGTGACAAAGCTGTCCTTGTCAGAAGGGGTGGGTGTGCATGACACTGGGAGAGGAGATGGAGCCATAGCTGCAAGGAACAACAGCTCAGGGAGCAGCATCTCACCTGAGCCGGTGAGTTCAACAGCTCCAGCAGCTGTGGATTTCTTCCAGTTCTCTGCTTCCCTTCTTGGGGAATCCCTATTCTGGATCACAAAGCAGAGCCCAGTGAAGCTTGAACATCATAACTATTACACAGCTTGAATTAAAAAGGAAATACCATCCACTATAGCTTAGATATGTGTTTGTTGTGGCACTTGCACGGAGGGAGGAGATTCCTACTGAGAAACCACTGAGGCCAACAAAGGAATTAAAGTGCTCCCCACTTTCTGACCATTATGCTAATTCATAAAGATGGCAAAATCTGAAATGCAGCTACAGAAAGCTGCATTTTGCACAAAGTACAGGCCTCTCATGTTTGACGCCTTCTGTTATGAAGAGGAATCGAACCCCTTCAGTTTAGGGATCTGGCTACAGGAGTATTTTCTTTCTATATGGTGAACTGTCCATGAGAAGGAAGTGCATGGGCAATTGGAGTAATATCGTGGAGGACTATTTATATGAAGAAAATCCATTTCAGCACTCAGAAAAAAGAGTTCAGCTTAGTGGGCAGTTATAAACATCTCTACATTTTTCCAGGCTAAAAAAAAAGCCAAATATTTTCTTTACAGCATGTTTCCATCTCCCACTGTTGAATAACTTTTACAGGAGAAGACTGCTTTTTCTGGTGTAGTAGTTTGTACTTTGGAGGTCCCAGTGTTCCGTACAAGAGCTACACTGAAATTACTGATCAAAGCTGGAAGCAGCCTGTAGGCTGCCCAGCGTTGTAGCTCGTGCTACACCAAAACCCAAGCCCAAATTCTCACAGTAACCCCATTTCTGGATGAGGACCGTGGTGGATTAGGTGCACACGACTGCAGTTCCGCAGGAGCTTTGCCCCTCACTGAACATGAGCACAAAACCTGGTTTGCTACTGAGTCATTTGCAGGCACCAGGGCTCGCTCGGGTATCCCGACAGCCGCCTCCCGCCGTGCCGGGGGAATCCCGGGAGCTCTGCAGGTAGGTGGATAGACACCAGCGCCTCGTCCCCCGCAACCCCTGGCTGCGAGCCTCACCCTGCCCTGCCTCTCGGGTTTGTTTTTGCTTGGGTTTGATGCTTGGAGCATCTCTTTCCTTCCCCAGAACAGCCGGAAAAGGGAAGCTTTGGGCGGTGCGTGGCTGCCTCGCCTCCCCTTCCGCCGCCTGCTCCGCCCCGGTTGCTGCGGAGCGGGGCGGCCGCGCAGGTGGGACCCCGCGGTGTCCCTGTGCCCCCGGGGCTGCCTTCCCCACAAAGCCGGCTTCATCTCCTCATCTCTTCTAAAGCCAAGGGCCTAGGCTATAGGCAGGTCTTGCTTGTGGAAAAGCTTGCCATAGCAAAGTGCTTTACTTTTTAAATTTTTCCTCCCTTGAAAAAGGTTAAGAGGTGCTGATCTTCACCCCAGTTTTCTCTTCCAGTTTTCGGCATGGCAGTGGACTGGCTCGGCTTTGGATACGCCGCCCTGGTGGCATCAGGAGGGATCATTGGCTATGCAAAAGCAGGTAGGGTGCCGAAAGGTGCTTCCATCTCCCTCCCTCTTCCCCCACACCCCCTCCTCCCTCTCCCCAATAACTTGGTGTGAGCTGGGCAGCTTTTTACGAAAGCCTCCTATCTCGAAGTTGACCCGTATGTAAATTTTATCGGTTTGTGCCATGTGCTGATAACTTGCTGCTGGTGGGGTGTGCTGGATTTTGAGTTGAGCTGGTGCTTTGGGCTGATAAGGCCATAATCTGCTTTCTGGTGCATGCTGATATCTGCCCGTGCTCTTTGGGTGAACTGTCATAAGTTTGCTTCAGAAAGGCTTTTTCCTTGCTCTTTAAAATACAAGCATTCTGTAAGTGTTCTGTATCTTCAAATGACATAAATCACCACTTTTCTTCCTTAAGAGATTTATTCCCATTTTAATCTGTGATGATAACAGTATACTGCAAGCTGCAGAGAGCTTTCAGAACTATCTTTTCTCCAAGTGGAGCTGAACAGCGCAAATCAGTCCTTAAACTTGTTTCTCTTCTGGGCTCTGCATCATAAGTGTACCCTCTGACCTACTGCTTTCATTTCCTGTCCTTTTTCTGAGTTCGCCCTTCTCCAGACAGAACTGTGGATTCATTCCTGCTGCAACACTGTCTCTTTCAGCTTTGTAAATCCCTAAGCCATCTTGGTTTTTATGATAGGAAGGGGCATTGCTGAAGTCAGTAAGACTCTTACCAGTGCATTTGACTGGATAGATGCTAGTAGTGTCTATTCCAGTCTGTTTTCCATTGGCTTGGATTTATCCTTTGGGTTGTGAGTGGAGTTTAGGACAGAAGGGACAATACTGAGAACTTAAGTAACTAATTGCATCTGTATTTCTCCAAGGCCATTATGAAATGATGGGTGTCTTTCTTGTCCTCTGGAACCCGATTGGGAGGACATGGTTATGCTCAGACAAGGGAATCCAGGTCACAGGATTATTGAAGGGGAACAGAAACTCGTATGGTAACTGCTGGAGAGAAGAAAAAACCCCAACCATACAAAGGAGCCATTGTATGCTTACTAATAACTTGGAGAAACCAAAAGAAAATGGAACTTTCATGCGTAGAACTAAGTTGATCTGATCTGTTCTTTTACAACCCGATCTATCTACCCACACAGACATGGGGCAGTAGTAGGTGCCTTTGGAACAGTATGAGAACATGGCAATCCCAGGGTGAGTGAGTGAGTAGGGAGTGATTTATTGATTCGTTGATTGATTTTTCTGTCTTCATTTAGCAAGTTCTTAAGTTCCCTGTGTTTTGAGATCTGTGAACTTCTTGAGCCAGAGGTGATGTGGTTGTGCTGTAAGTGTATGTGTCATATCTGCTTAAACAATACCTTGAGGCCAAATTCAAGGAAATGATGGATGTTTCTTGGCTCCCAGGCTTGTGGAAAGCATTGTGGCTACCACAGATTTGTTTTAAACTCATATTCTGTGCAAAGCAGCCTCCTAGTAGAGTGTGTACCTTTTCCTTGCACATGTACAAGTATATCAGGTGCTTTCTGTCGTCTTTGTCTCTTGCTTTTTATACCAAAAGCAGGATACAAAGCAACCTTGTTGATGATTGAAAAATGATTACTTTCTGGAAGCAATATGCAGTCCTCCTTTAACATTGACAGGAGATATTTATCAGCTTAGCTTTTCAATCTCAAGTCTTTGGAAGGTGACCTCAGAAATGGAATGTATAAAGAACCACCTTCAGTAGCATTAAGTCCTTAATTCTCCATTGGCCTTATGGAGGGCATTCACCACTCACAGTGATCATGCTAATTGATTACTTGATATATTCTGTAAATCACCGATTTAGGTGTGGTATCCTTTATTTTCTGGTAGTTTGGGATGATCATTTATACTGAGGACTTGATTCAAAGTTTAGGTGTGTTTCTTGCAAAGTCTGCAGCTACCTTTGGATCAAATCTCGGGTGTACTTAGGAGATATGACCTCTCTTGTTCAACTACGCCTTGCTCCTTGGCAATTCTTTGAATGCCCTCCTGCCCAATTCCACTCACCTGTCCTTTTTTCTGATCTTAAATCCTTACAATTTAGTCCTACTGTTTTACTGCCTCTCAAGGAATTTTCGTAATACTGTTTTGAAGCAACATGCTTCAGTTTGTGTAAGGAAAACACCAATTCTTTTGTTTTTCTCACTCTTCTTTCATGAATGCGTTAATGCCTTTGCTTTATAGAACTAAATACTAATTCTGTATATATCTTATGCAAGAGTATTTGAAGTGTTTCTTGGTGCTGATCAGCATGGTCCCAATATCTTAAAACCCCCCTTCTCTGATCTTCTTTATGTCAATGAATGATGAATGCCCTTTTTTTTTTTATTTCTATAATTTTTGGTACAAAACAGTTAAGCTGCTGATCAAGATAATCTTTAAGTTTCTAAGAAATGCATTATCTTCTATTTATTCAGGTAGTGTTCCGTCACTAGCTGCTGGCCTTTTCTTTGGGAGTTTGGCTGGACTGGGTGCTTATCAGGTCTCACAGAATCCAAATAACATCTGGGTTTCTCTGAGTAAGTAATTTAAAATTTTATTTGAAAAGGATAATATTTACCCTATATATTTAAAATGAGTACCTAAAAGTCTTTGCAGAAGAGTTAAACACAGATTATGCTACAAATCTAACTTCAGTGCTTTCTAAACTTTACTGAACCGGTGGCTGCCAACATGCATCTGTCTCATGCTGATGTGTTTGAAGGATCATAATGCAAGGGAAGTGCTAATAAATCGATTTCTGATGTTTTTGGCTGGATCCTTGTACTTTGAGCATCCTGCAGGAGGCTGTAAGATTTTGGGAAGTGGGATTTCCCCTTCAGACTGACCATACCCCTAGCAGACTATTTTATTATCACAGAAAATGGCAGAGATTGTGATTGGCTTATTTTTATAAATGACAAATATGTGAAATTACAAAGGTGTTGATGCCTGGGGTGATCTAAGAGAGAATCAAGCTTCAGTAATGCTGTTTCTTCCTTCTCAGAATTGGAGCTTCCCTTCCCCCTGATTTGAGAAGGTAACTGTGGAGAATTACTGCTTAGTCAGTGTTTAAAGAGCCACCACTGACTACAGCATTTTTTCTCTGAAGCAATGACAGGGCATCTGCCTCTTTGACGTGTGAAAGTCAGAAGTGAAAGGGGAAGGCCCAGCATTTCTCTCCACTTCAGCTTTGTTTACAGGCAGTTCACTTCCACAGCTGCTGGCCAGGCCAAAAGCTGTGCGTGGTCAAGCCTTAATAACTTAATAAACTGCTGATACATCAAGCTTAAGAAGTGTGAGATGAAGTGTTTTCCCAAATGTGAGAGACAGATGCATTTCTGTAGCTCAGTAGCATATGGAGTCTTTTCCTCTTCATGCTTTAAAGTTTTTGGAGAAGATGTGTTCTGCTGCTGTTTGAAACAAAATTTCATTGTGAGGTGTGCATATTCTGAAGACAGGCTACTAATTAGAGCTTGAAGCATTTTAATACTGAAATATTTTTGTTTTATTGTGTGTCAGACTATGGTCCCAGTCTCTTACATATCTCATTACGTGAGATTAAGAGACGTCAGTGACAATATTTTGGCTGGTGTTAGGGAGGAAGGATGTCATGGCTAGGACTGAAGATGAACTGGATCCTGCAGGACCAGTCATCACATAGAAGCAATGGTAGGGGATAAGAGTTGGAACAACACGTGTGTAGCTGTTACCACTGGGTAGCAGGTGCCTACTAAGGATAAGGATTTAATCAGTGTATGTTTTTCTTACATTTCGCATTGAGTAAGTTTTTAATTGAGATATCATGTTCAGGGACTGTCCTTTCTATCTTACTGAGTCAGTGAAACTACCTGGCTTCTGTCTCTGTGTCAAGTGGTCTGGGACAATTAACTCTCACCTTGGTAATACTTAGCACGCTTCCCTTTTGAAGTAATTTGAAAACAATTTAGTTAATTCTCAGAACATTACTACAAATTAAACATGATGCTACATGTTAGACATGATTGCTACAAGTTAGACAAATGCTCTCTCCCTTTTTTGAGAAGCGAGGGAATTATGTGGACAAGTTTAGTGATTTGCCTGTGTGGAGAAGGAGTGAGTTCTAGAGCACTGTATCATAAATTATTTCCAGTCTCAAAAAGAACACATTTTGAAAAACAAATTTGAGAAGTATGTGCAGAAGTATATGGAGAGCACTGTCTGCTAGAACTTGATATAGCATACTTACTCTTTACAAACTGAGGCATTTTAAAATTTGCACAATTTATTGATTCTCTTAGTCTGTTAAGTGCAGTAACCCTGTTTCTCTTTTTACTTGATGCTGCTACTTCTCTCTGTTCTGTTAGTTTTTAATTATGTTTCTCCCACACATGCATCTCTGCTGACTGGACTGTACAATCTCTCATTTAAGTTACATCTGGAGCACTGACAGCTGTCATGGGAACAAGATTTTACCACTCCAGAAAATTCATGCCTGCAGGGCTAATTGCTGGTGTCAGGTATAATCCTTTTCTTTAACCTCCTGTGTGTGATTTCTTATTTGCTTAATTAAACTGAGATGGAGTGAATCATATTTTGTGTATTATTTTTGTTCCTATGCATCACTTGGATGAAGTATCTGAAAATGAATTGAGAAATTGTTGTTGTTATTGTTAAATTATATGCTTTTTTTCCCCTTATACAGTTTGCTAATGGTTGGAAGATTAGCACTGAAGATGTTGGAAAAGCCCCAGGAAAAGTAACTGTTAATTTTACATCTTAGTATTTGGAAAAGAAAACCTGATCATGGAATTGCATGAATGCAGAAGTGAGAAGATGGAAAAATTTTCTGTATCAAGACATTTTTTAATCTTTTTTTGTAAGTGGGAGTACAGTGATGGGACAGATAGTTATTATACGAGGTAGAGCTGTTTGTGTATAGAGAGAAATTGGTCCTGGGTTTGATTTTTCTGGCATGTTTCAGTGTATTTTAACACTTCCATGTTTTTATATTCCAAAATATACTTCTGACATGTATGAAGCAGATAAAAAATATCCTGTAATTAAGAAAATATCTACAAAGAGGCACCAGGAGTAACTGGCTAAATACAGTAGTGTATCTCAAACCTTTTACACTGAGTATTATGGTGTGCTTTACCTGTTGCATTCTGAATTGATACACCATGTCTTTATAATGTCCAACAGATCTTGCTTTTTTATTGTGAAATTATGCTAAAATGATGCTTTTCTATAAGTAAAATTTGTTACAAACCTTTATTTGGCCTTTTTATTTTTTTGTACAATTTCTGTATTTGGGGACAGGACTATTTTTTTCACCTTGTTTTCTCAGTGGAAGTCTTTGCAGTGGACTGTTAGTTTCCAAGTGCTGTCTTTCAATGATATGTAAAAATCACTTTATAAATGGAGGGACAGAAGATTAAATTATGGGCCTTCATTAGCATTTAAGAAGTTGTTTGAAAGGAACTTACCCTGAGGATTAATTAAATGAGATTTGTGCTAGGCTAAATGGACAGTTGAATGTGATCTAGACTGTATAACTGGAGCAAAATACCCTAACACTGTGCAATTCTGATCTTACAGACTTACTTGACAATAGAATGTATCAGCATTTTATTTTTATCTCTTAGGAGAGTGGCTGTGCCTCTTCAAATGTGTCTTTACTAGGAAAACCTGGAGTCAGAAGGGTTCTTTGTTCTGCTATGATGCCTGAAGTGTGGAAGAGGCATCAGTGGCATCTGGTGCTTTTGTTGTCACTCCATCCTTGATTGCTTCTCCTGCACTGAGTCTTGCAGTTCTGTTAGTGCAGGCACAGCTCACATGAGCTTAGCACTGTGGTGGAAGGGAGAGGCAAGAAATGTGTGAAAGAAAATCCTTTATCAGCTTATTCTTTAGTGATACATAATTATTGATAAATTAGGATTCTTACCGAGTGTAACTCTATTTTAAAGTGATATTTTATGTAGTGACTATTTAGGATTTTACTTTGGGACCTTTGTACCACTGATTATATCAGAACCTTGTCAACTGCTTAACATGATAATGGCAAAGCAGGTTTAAATTAACTTACATGTTACACACTTTACATTTTGTAGTGTTTAAAGGAATTGATAAAAGTTGTCTCAAACTGCATAAAGCAGATACCAAACTACGTAATTTCTCCATTTTGTTGGCCACTTCAATGCTTGTATTTCCTTTTCTGGAAATGGCATTTAGTAGTAATATTGAGTCAGAGTGACATTTCTACTGTTGTGAGTCAATGGTTACCCATATGGTAGTAGACAGGAAGCTATTGTAATAGAAAGTAGTAATTACAAGCAGATCTACTGGTGTTGGGCCAGTTGTGCTGTGTCTTATCAATTCTCTTAGCAAAAGTTGTAAAATTAATTCCAGGTTTTTTAATACATTTCATATTGTAACTTCTCTTGTTTCCCGGCACCTAATGTCTAAAAAACCTGATCTATACAGGATGAATCTCCAGGGATCAACACTGAACACATGTTAAAGCATGTCTGAAATTCTAGTCTCAGTTAAATCATAGTCTCTTTTGACTATAAGCAAAATCTAACAGAAGTTTTGTAATTACCTTTTTATGTATTTAAGTCACCCCATGTAATTGAATAGAAAATTCCATCATTGATACAGAATTTTTTACAGCTATTCAAGAATTAAAGACATAAATATCCTTTCTCCAGATTGCCCCTGCTTTTAGTCTGATTGTTAGCTACCTCTAAAAGATTTCTTTCTGTTTTTTTTTTTTCCACTGAGTCTCCATGTAAATTGAGATAATTACTTTTGCATTAAATCCACTGTGGCTATGCCATGGCTTGAGTGGAATTTCATGTTATGAGTCAGCTTGTACATGGATTTTGGAAAGAATGATTTAGTTATTTTTGGGAAATGAACTGCTAAAATAACTCTTAAATTAAGGCTGCTCTGTTCAAAGCACACTCTGAAAATAAAAATATTAGTTTAATATTTCTTACAGTTTCAGCTGTCAGCACAAGCTGAAATGAATACTGATTTTAAAAAAGTTCCAGGAGCAGGAAACTAGTTTTACTATACACATACTGAGTCACCAGGACTCAATAACTCAGAGTTTAATCACACATCCAGAATGCTACAGTATCGAGAGGAGAAAAGAATTTGAGTTGTCAAATCCTCGTTTCCTAGAGTAAGGGCCCAGGTCCTCCATTCCACGCCTGCTTGCCTGATAGAAACTGGGTGGCAAGAGGAGATGTCAGGTATTTTACCCCTCTCTTGAGTGGCTTGCTCAAGACCAGAGGAGGGAATTTTCTAATCACTTTGGTAGGTAAGTCATCTCTTGAAAGTAGGAGTTTGTCCTAAATGTTGTAATTTTTGTTTAAACCTGTCTTTGTAATAGGAGTTGCTTACCTTAAGTCCTGGAAAGCAAGAGATGTTGGGCTCCCTTCAGTTCCTGCTCTGGATGGGTTCAAGTTCCCTTCCCAGGGAAGAGCTTCCCTCTGACCATAGGATATCCTGCAGGGAGAATGTTGATAGGGGGAGTCACACCACAGCTGAGAAGAGATTGCAAAGTTCCTGGGATCTGTGGGAAAAGGATCAACTATTTTTTGTCTTATTTAAAGCTAGATAGTAACTGGCAAAAATGCAGAGACATCCTGAAGCTGAGCAATGCAACTCAGATTCCTCTCTGGCCAGAGAGGACAACCTAGATTTCACCTTTATGTTTGCTTCTGGCTACTTCCAGGGTCTCCCATTCAGGATCTTACCTGTGGTGCCCCAATTGCTGACACTGAGGCAGCATCGCATCCATACAGGTTTGGAATGTTACAGAGCACCCAATTAGTGAAAATGTGAGCAAATATTTTGAGGGGAGGGTCAAAATATTGGACAATTGAGTGCCTCAGTTATGGCTCAGTCGAGATGTTGGGCTCCCTTCAGTTCCTGCTCTGGATGGGTTCAAGTTCCCTTCCCAGGGAAGAGCTCCTTCCCTCTGACCGTAGGATATCCTGCAGGGAGAATGTTGATAGGGGGAGTCACACCACAGCTGAGAAGAGATTGCAAAGTTCCTGGGATCTGTGGGAAAAGGATCAACTATTTTTTGTCTTATTTAAAGCTAGATAGTAACTGGCAAAAATGCAGAGACATCCTGAAGCTGAGCAATGCAACTCAGATTCCTCTCTGGCCAGAGAGGACAACCTAGATTTCACCTTTATGTTTGCTTCTGGCTACTTCCAGGGTCTCCCATTCAGGATCTTACCTGTGGTGCCCCAATTGCTGACACTGAGGCAGCATCACATCCATACAGGTTTGGAATGTTACAGAGCACCCAATTAGTGAAAATGTGAGCAAATATTTTGAGGGGAGGGTCAAAATATTGGACAATTGAGTGCCTCAGTTATGGCTCAGTCTTTACAGGTACAACACTGAGACCCCTAGTTCAGCAGTAATATACTCAGGCTCAATTGCACCACTGAGTTGAGGTTACTCACACACTGGTAGATGTCACAACCTAAGCTGTTCTTCCAATTGATGTGACATTTGCAGGTAGCAAAAAATATCTTTAATTTAGTGCAAATGTGTGGTATAGTGTAAGAATTCAGGCAATGTTACATTAGTAGTATGGGCAAACTGTCTTTCACAAGCCAGCAAAGGAGAATGGGAGGTGGATGAAAGATGTTTCAAGTGGAATGGTTTGGAAGGGAAGTAGTCATGTGCTGTCCTACTTTATCCCTTGTTCTAAGAATATGGTACAAGCCTGTTTTAATGCAAAGCGAGTCCCCTAACTCTTGTTCTGCTGCAGGCTTTGAAAGTGCAATTTGCCATGTCCCAGTTCTGTCAGTCATTGTGTTGGGAGCTGTTGGCGCTCTGTCATCACCAGCTGAGGGTCAGTCTGTGCTGAAACTAATATGGCCTTAAGTATTACACAATTATCCTTTTGTGCTGTTAAAATTGCTGGCTTCTTGGCATTATAGTCATGCTTTCTGACTGCACAGCTTAATCACCTGGAAAAATGGGAGGGGCAAACAAAGGTCAGGAGAACCTCCAAGCAGTTATGACATGAGGAGGAAAGTCTTTGTTTCTCCAGAAGCCCTACAAGTAAAAATGGAAAAATGTTGTGTCAATAACAGCACAGAGGCATCTGCCCTCAGCTCCTTTCCTGCTTTCTTGAAATGCCATGATGGAACAGATCAAAGTGCTTATGCTTTTATGCAATATCCCCAGCTCAGTCCAGTGCACAAGTGACTTTGGGTGTTCCCTTTAGTCTTTTTGTGTTTCTCTTCTGAGCTCTGAAATAGAGATAATGTTTTCTGTATCCTTCACCCTCTCTGTCTTTTACATTGCTGTCTTACACTGTGTGTGGCATAAAATGTTCCCTGCCTCAGGACCAAGAATTGGTAGCTGGAACTGAAACTGTTTTAGCGCTGGTAGTTCATACAGTGTTTTGGTACTCTTTTAGAAAAACCCTCATGAGAAAAAATATGGTACAACTAAAGTCTATTTGCCTTATTTCATCAAATGTTAGTATTTGCTAATATATTGCTATTGTATTTTGAGATCCTGTCCTGCAAGCACGGTAACTCAGTGGGATTGAGCCTTAGTGCTAATATTTGTTGTCATATAATATTCTGAGTTGGAAGGGACCCATGAGGATCATTGATTACAACTCCTGACTCCACACAGAACAACCTAAAAGCGAAACTATGTGTCTAAGATCGTTGTACAAGTGCTTATTGAACAGCAACAGGTTTGGGACCATCACCGCTTCCCTGAGATCTTGTTCCAGTGCTTGGCCACTCGCTCAAGAACAATCTCCTCTCCTCTCCCTTTTTAAATTTTCTTTTCCCTTTTTCTTTATTCTCTTTGTTTTTCTGCTTTTCCTTTTTTCTTCTCTCCCCCCCCATTTTTTTCTTTCCCCCCAATTTTTCTTTTCCCCCATTTATTTTTTCCACCTTTTCTTGCCTGTTTTCTCCCCCCCCCCCCCCCCCCCCCCCCTCTTTTTTTTTTTTTTTCTTTTTTTTTTTTTTTTTTTTTTTTCTTTCAAGGTCAAGACAACCTTTCTGAGGGAAAACTGAAAACTGTTTGTTGCATATGTATTTAGGTACAAATTAATCCCTATTCTTTACAGGTCATCTGTGAGAAAGAATAAAAAATTTTCCCCCCCCCCCCCCCCCCCACACGTTTTTTGTATTTTTTCCCCCATTTTCTCCTTGGTGCTTGTTTGTTTGTTTGCTTTCCCTGGTTTTATGTCCCCGTTGTTTGTCTGTCAGGCGGCGGCTGGCTGTGCTGGGAATGCGGAGCTCCTGGCAGGCTTTGCAGCGCTCGGAGCCGGGAGAGGGCGGCAGCGCGGCTCCGCTGCTGTCAGCCGGGGGAGAAGAACACCCCACCCACCCCGCGACGTGGAGACAAGGATAAATAATAATCAACCTAATTCCACTGTAGGGTTTGCCCACTTGTCGCTATCTGACCTGGAACACCAAACGCTGGAACACAAGTGCTCGGCTCTCTCAGCTGAATAGGTCTTTAGCTTCTTTATTAGCTTTGCGCTGGCCCGAGAAATGAAAGGAAATGATCCTGGGGCAAAAGGCTTTTCTCACCAAGCATACTGTGCGATCCAATGCTCGTGCTGCTAAGGAGCTGATAATAATCGCTCGAGGAATGAAAATAAAACCCTTCTGCCGCTCTTCTTACACCCCCTGAAGGAAATCACTTATCTGCATTGGAAGATCAGCCCAGTCTTTCTCACCTATTCACAGCAAGAAACAAAATCTGCGCGTTGTCAGCCTGATTCGCAAGCGGAAGAGATTTAGCAGGACAGGCCTCCTTCTCTAAGCACTTTTAGAAAACACATAAGTGTTTTGGTTTTGTAAGCTGTTGGAATAAATATATATATAATGAGGGAGAGGGTGTTGGCTAAGTTTCTTTGGATACGTGCTCTTTCAGCAGTGCTATAACAATAGAAATGCCTGGGATCAAATCATGTGCTGTTACCTGAAGGCATCCCACTAGTAGGAGAGTTATTGAATGCGCTGAAATTCCTTCTGACCCCTCTGTTCCTCAATAAACCTGCACACAACTTCCTCTGGGGATGGGCCAAGTATTGCTCCATTAGTATGCAGCACCACAGTCAGCAGGGCAGGAAAATACACACCAGGAGGAGAGAAAAGATATGAAAAGCAGCAGGAGCAAAGTAAACGCTTTTAAATTCTGGACAGAAACTTCCCTCCACTGAGATTCCTGCAGGTCTCTGGTGTCATGACAAGATGTAAAATATTCTGTGGTGAGAGGGAGGTTGGTCCATTTACTCAGGTTCTGTTTCTGTTTAAAAAATGAAGCCTAGACTGGGAGGCAGGGAAATTTTTTTTTGTGATGGGGCTAGGAATCCAAAAATTGTGACAACGGACACAAAGCAACAATCCTAAAATCTTCTGAAAGTATTTTTATCCATAAAGATATTGTGAAAATGATCATTCTGGTTCTCTGAGTGGTTACATATCCCTGGTGTTTAGCAGCGTGCTAGATGCTCCAGTCTGCATTGCTTGTCCTATATGCAGCAATATCTTCAGCTCCCAGACTACCTCACCTGGCAACCCTGCAGCATTTACATCAGCTTGGGGCCTGTCGCCAGACTTTCTCCTTCGTGTGCCACTATTGTCTCATCCCTGCCAAGAAATAAGGACACTGCGTTCAACTTACACCTATAAATATCATCTATATGAATTTATTTTCATATAAATTAATTTATTTATGTGAAGGACAGTAGGTTGTTTAGCATCCAGTTTCTCGGGCAGCACAGAGTCACTGATCAACACAGACCCAACTTCAGCCACGTCCTCCTTATGGCCAGGTGGGCAATGAACACACGCATTCATGCTTCTGCACAGACAGTACCATGGTTGCACAGGAGTTTTATTTACACTTTTAAAAGCATTTTGTTTGCTTACCTATGGTTTTGCTTTTTACTAGTGATAAATACCGAATAACAGTGATAAAAAACAAATAATATTTTCTTCTGTATATCTATTCCCATACTGTCAAGCAAGCAAATATGGCCAGTATTAGAAGGCATTGTGACTTTCTGAGACAGAGGTGGCAGCAGCCTGCAATTCCTGCTCCTCTTAGCTGTCAACCATTAGGCTACCAGCTTCTTTAGGGAATAGTGTGTTGCATGGAGGCAGAAAAGATCCACAGATTTTCTTACGATATATTTGATTTACAGAATATATCCCACTGAGTGTCCCCTCAGGGCATCTCAGTCCTCAAGGATCACGACTTTCCTCAAGAGTATTCTTTTCACATGAGTGTTGACTTTATGGTGTCACCTATAGACACTGTCTGCTTTAGTCAGGGCTCTCCGTAACAATGCACCAAAATATGCGCTTAAAGATGATGGTAAACTCATTCAAATCCTCCCTTATCAACCACAAACAAGGTGTGGTGCATATGCTAAAAACGCAGCAGCAGGAAAGAGGAGAGTTAACTGTCAAAAAAAAAAAAACTGTCAAAAAAAAAAAAAATCATGTTAACTGACACCTAATTAGTGCTAATCTCAATTTTCTCTTTTTTTTTTCTTTTCCCCCTTTTTTTTTTTTTTTTTTTTTCTTTTGGTCCCCTGGAGCAGTGAAAGTTTTGGCGAGGAAGGGTAAGAGGGGTCAGCCTACTGCTAATTGCTTCTTGTTAACCTGGGTCATTGCACTTGACCTCATTCCAATCTGTGTTGGGTTGACCCTGGCTGGATGTCAGATGCCCACTGAAGCCACTCTTATCACTCCCTTCTCAGCTGCAGAGGGGAGAGAAAATATAATGAAGGGATTTAAGGACAAGGAGAGATCATTCACCAATTAACATCATGAGCAGAACAGACTG